TAACTAATTAGCTAGGAAGTCAACTTTTACCTATGTGTTCTCAATGTCTAAGTTTTAAGTCATGGTTCACTTTAAAAGGTATAGACAAAAGTATTCAAGCAGTTGCCATCTCAGTCCACCAAATGAGAAGAAATATCAAAATCAAAGATAATCACAATAATAGTTTTCCTGAGATTTGATCAGAGATATAATCTGTTCCTTTTTGGAAGACTGCGTCTGTCCTTCTTATGGAATAAAGAAGATAACAAGGTCTTTTCTCTGTGTCAGGTCACTACACAAAGATGCTTAAACATGGAAATAAGAAATTCTTAAGGTCTGATTTCTGGAGATAATTATAATACATGAAATGAACGTAACATTAAAGATGTTGAAGTTTGGCTAACATAGACAGTTGAGAGAAAAGTCACCGCTTATTTAATGTTCTAGTCTGAAACATCAGAAGAGAAGCATATATGTAAAATGCATAAAATACATATATATATGTGATATATCACATATCAGAATATATTCAGGACTGGGATTGAGTAGTCTAAGGTTGACTCACTGCACAAGCTGCTTATTTCCTCTTTTATTTCTAATGTTTTAATTTTAAAATATATCATGTGGGGTTGTAATTTCCAAGCTTTCATCAATGTACAGCTTCTATGTTTTCTTGGGTTGCAGAATGAAAAATGCCTGCACTTTTTCAAAAGAGCTTCTTATAATAGTACAAAAGGCACCATGTACAGAGATTGGAAACAAAGCAACAAAAAGAGTATACTCTGAAGAGTCTAACTATAGCAAAAGAGCTCAGGATTTATTTGTTTGGTGGGTATCCAGGTACTAGTGCTAATGCAATGTCAATTAGATTCAAATTAAATCAAGTACAAGCAAATGTACTGAAAGTATTAGGAATGCACTATCTACTTTGCTAAATAATTTGCACTCCGCATTCTGCAATTACATGAGCATGCCGTCGATATAGAAATATTTAGCATGTTAGTTTCAACAAGAATGTAGATACATTCATAGAAATCAGTATTTTTATGGATTCTTTTCGCAATGAAAGGAACCATGTATAACGTTGATTTTTACCTTCAGTTTTGATAATAGGCTGAAGACTGCCTTCAATCACTTTAATTTTTGGTTCCACAAATTTGGTTATAATTTTAGTTGCTGAAAGTATAGAAAGTGGAACATGAATGATGTTTACATAAAAACAACCTGAACAAAATTTTCCTTTTTTTTTTTTTTTATCTTTGCAGGTGTCTTGGGTATCAGACTGGGTTATATTGTCAGGAAGTCAGATACCGGACTCATTCATGGTACATAATATAATATCTTCTCATGTCCAGATGTTGAACTTTGAAGTCCAGTGACTTGAATTTGTTCCAGTGGAATATATATTCACTA